AAGCCGAAGCAGGAAACCAGACAAATGATTGTCCAATCTCTTCTTAAAGACTTCCATTGGAACATTCACAACTTCTGGAGGCAAGTTCTTCCACTGATTAATTGTTCTAACTGTCAGGAAATTTCTCCTTAGTTATATTGCTTCTCTCCTTGGTTCGTTTTCATCTGTTGCTTCTTAGCCTACCTTCAGGTACTTTGGAGAATAGAATAGAATAAAATAGAATAGAATAGAATAAGTTGGAAGGGACCTTGGAGGCCCTCTAGTCCAACCCTCAAGCTCAAGTAGGAAACCCTATACCCTTTCAGACAAATGGTTGTCCAATCTCTTCTTAAATACCTCCAGTGTTGGAGCATTCCCAACTTCTGGAGGCAAGTTGTTCCACTGATTAATTGTTCTAATTTTCTGATTAATTCTTCTCACTGTCAGGAAATTTCTCCTCAGTTCTAAGTTGCTTCTCTCCTTGATTAGTTTCCACCCATTGCTTTTTGTCCTGCCTTCAGGTGCTTTGGAGAATAGCTTGACTCCCTCTTCTTTGGGGCAGCCCCTCAGATATTGGAAGACTGCTATCATCTCCCCCATGGTCCTTCTTTTCATAAGACTAGACTTGCCCAGTTCCTGCAACCATTCTTCATCTGTTTTGGCCTCCAGTCCCCTAATCGTCTTTGTTGCTCTTCTCTGCATACTTTCTAGAGTCTTCACATCCTTTTTACATCGTGGCAACCAAAACTGAATGCAGTATTCCAAGTGTGGCCTTACCAAGGCATTATAAAGTTATATTAACACTTAACTGTTAAACATGGCAGATCTTAGCATGAAGGTAGCTTAACTCTCCCATCATTATGGAATCATTTATTATTTTTTCCACAACAGCTTTCATCCAGAAATTCCAAACTATAGAGGGGAAGCATTTTTTCCCATATAAATGGGCTTGTGTTTCTTTGTTTATGATGGAAATATCTGCTCCTTTAATCCGATTTATGAACAGAACAAATAACAGAGTTGGAAGGGACTTGGAGGTCCTCTAGTCCAACCCGCTGCTCAATCAGGAAACCCTATACTAGCATTTCAGGCAAATGGCTTTCCACTCTCCTTAAAAATACCTCCAGGGCATTTATGTGTGGAATCAAGGTCAGGGATGCATTTTAGAGTTCAACCATAGGACAGGCAGTGTTCTTCTAAGCCGGATTATTATTATTTTTAATCAAAAAAATCATGTTTCTAGGGTTTAATAAAAATGAACATAAAGCACTTGTTTTGGGGTGGTATTACTGAATGTTTGCACTATCGAATTCTTCCTGTTTTGGTCTCTTGTGCTGTTTCATTACCAATAAACATTAACCCATTGTCAGATTATATATTTCCAACAAGAGGAAAATGGAGGCATATTTACAGTAGAGTTCTTTCTTAACCTTCTGAAGAGTTTCTCCTTTACTCCAATTAGAACCTCACTTGTCACTTAGCAATAGCAATGGCATTTAGACTTATATGCCGCTTCACAGTGCTTTACAGCCCTCCCTAAGTGGTTTACAGAGTCAGCATATTTCCCTGAACAATCTGGGTCCTCATTTTACCCACCTCGGAAGGATGGAAGGCTGAGCCAACCTTGAGCCGGTCAGGATNGGAAATGGGTGTCGACGGAGGTGCTCCGTGGGACGTGGGGCAGGAGGGTGATGAAACGCTGCACTTCGTGGATCACGGCGTTGGTGAAGGGCAGGTGGCGTCGGTCTTCGTAGGTGGCCCAGTGGCCCGGCTTGACCACTTGCCCGAGCTCCTCCTGGACCTTCTCTGAAGCCGACCCAGCGAGAAAAGAGAAAAGCAAACACCGTCCGGGGCAAAGCCAATCCGCCCGTTTCAACTTCACGCCATTCCTCCTCCTCCTCATTCATCCGCACTTAATTCCCAGCCCGTTTCGACCTGATTTTGTTCTCTGTTTTTTTTTTTTTTAAGTCCCGGCAATCAGCCGCCCCTGTTTTTATATCTTCCGGGCCTCGTATTTTGCTTGTAATGAACAGCCGAGCCGATTCCCTTGCATAGAATGCATGCTTTATTCTAAGCATTTTGGTAGCCCCTTTTTCTGAAGTTAGGCTGTTGTTTTTTTTAATGCAGGGGTCTGGAGCTGTGAGATGTTTTGCAAAACTTTTGAAAGTGTCACTTCTCAGCTACGAAGATGTCCCTTCCCTTCCTTTCCTCCTTCCTTATCCTCCATCCTTCCTTCCTTCCTCTAAGAAATGTTCCCTTCCCCTTCTTCCTTCCTTCCTTCCTTCCTTCTTTCCTTCCTTCCTTCCTTCTTCCTTCCCTCCTTCCTTCCTCTAAGACAGTGGTTCTCAACCTGTGGGTCGGGACCCCTTTGGGGGTTGAATGACCCTTTCACAGGGGTCACCTAAGACCATCAGAAAATTGTAAAATTACAGTTATGAAGTAGCAACGAAAATAATTTTATGGTTGAGGGTCACCACAACATGAGGAACTGTATTAAAGGGTCGCGGCATTGGGAAAGGTTGAGAACCACTGCTCTAAGAGATCATCCCTTCCCCTTCCTTCTTTCCTTCTTTCCTTCCTTATCCTTCATCCTTCCTTCCTTCTTCTCCTTCCTTCCTCTAAGAGATCTGTTCCCCTTCCTTTTTTCTTTCTTTCTTTCCTTCCTTCCTTCCTTCCTTCCTTTCTTATCCTTCATCCTTCCTTCCTTCTTCTCCTTCCTTCCCTCCTTCCTTCCTCTTACAGATCTTCCCTTTCCCTTCCTTTTTTCTTTCCTTCTTCCTTATCCTTCATTCTTCATCCTTTCTTCTTCCCTTCTCCTTCCTTCCTTCCTTCCTTCCTCTTAGAGATCTTCCCTTTCCCTTCCTTTTTTTCTTTCCTTCTTCCTTATCCTTCATTTTCATCCTTCCTTCTTCCCTTCTCCTTCCTTCCTTCCTCTAAGAGATCTTCCCTTCCCCTTCCTTCTTTCCTTCTTTCCTTCTTTCCTTCCTTCCTTCCTTCCTTATCCTTCAGCCTTCCTTCCTTCTTCTCCTTCCTTCCTTCCTCCTTCCTTCCTCTAAGAGATCTTCCCTTCCCCTTCCTTCTTTCCTTCTTTCCTTCTTTCCTTCCTTCCTTCCTTCCTTATCCTTCAGCCTTCCTTCCTTCTTCTCCTTCCTTCCTTCCTCCTTCCTTCCTCTAAGAGATCTTCCCTTCCCCTTCCTTCTTTCCTTCTTTCCTTCTTTCCTTCCTTCCTTCCTTCCTTATCCTTCAGCCTT